CACGTTTGCCTGGGCGGGGCCGGCCAGGCCGGTTGGGGACCACTGATTCAGGTGGTAGCAGCCAATGGCCATTTCCTCCTTCTGTGATGTAAGGAGAGGCCAGCCAATCATGGCGGCAGAGCGTCGAGCTACCTTGACCCATTTGAGTCCCACCAGTTCAGTCGACAGAAGCCAAAGGTATTTTCTGTAACACTGAAGAAATTCGTTCTCGTAACAAGTGTGGAGATTTGTGATGCTTGGCAAGGGACGGCTATCAAGGCCACGAATCTTCAATCGGTTCTGTTTCCAGGAAGAAAAAGGAACAGGCTGTGCACACCTCGGTACATTCCTGAAGCCTCCTGGGAGCCATTTGTGCTCCGTTGCCACACGCGAGACAGCAGGCAGCGTTTTCCTTTACCTGAAACAATGGAGTAAGTGACTCAGCATCTTTGGCTTTGGGAAATTGCGTATCCCATGATTGTGGAAGGCAACACTTCCAAAAACAGCAGCAGAACAAGAGCAAACACTCTAAAAAAAAAAAAAACCCAATCAACCCGATGTTTTTTTAGATGTTTTACCCAATGTTTATGCAAACTGTGCATAAGAGATCTTTTTATGTTCGAGTTGGTGCTCGCAAACATGCATCGGGCAGCTCCTGCTGCTGCTCACCCATTGAGATGTATCCACCAGTTCCTCATCCATTATGGAAGGATAATGAGTCACCTTCAAACCTCTGGGACCAGATCAGACAGGACGTGATTCTACATAGATCAGACAGAATAAGGGATTCTACATAGTCCGGAAGAGGAGAATAGCAATAGCACTTAAGACTTATATACCGCTTTACAGGGCTTTACAGCCCTCTCTAAGCGGTTTACAGAGTCAGCATCTTGCCCCCAATGATCTGGGTCCTCATTTTGCCGACCTCAGAAGGATGGAAGGCTGAGTCAACCTTGAGCCAGTCGGTCAGGATCAAACTGCTGGCAGTGGGCAGAATTATCCTGCAATACTGCATTGTAACCACTGGGAAGGAAGGAAGGAAGGAAGGAAGGAAGGAAGGAAGGAAGGAAGGAAGGAAGGAACGCCACCGAGTCCATTGGCCTTTCAATTGCTGCTGCGTTCCAGATCCCATCACCCTAAATTACTGGCCATGCTGGTTGAAGTTCTAGGGGTTAGTTCCCACCGCAGATAGTCATTATGGTGATCGGCGATGAGCGAAGACTTGGTGTGAACCAGGGTGGCAGAAAAAAAGAGTGGGGAGCGGGGGGAAAGGAAGGCAAATACATTTTAGGATGGAGAGGCTAATTCACACATTGGAGTCTTGGAAAAGGGATAAGAATATTTAGAAAAAGAGTGTTCCCTTTGGAGGTTTACAAAAAAGTGGGCAAATTATTAGCATCGCTAATGTAATGTAATCACTTTCTCAGGGGCCTGATATCCCAAGAACAGGAAAGCAGACAAAGCACGAGAATAGGATTCCTTGCTATTGGCGACAGTAGCACCCTTACTGGAAATGGTAGTGTGAAAATGTCCCCCTCAATATTTTTCTTGGGGTTGGAGCCTGCCAAGTGCTAGAAAGATTGGTAGCGAAAGATAGACATACTAGCACTTAAACCAGGGGTGAAATCCAGCAGGTTCTGACAGGTTCTGGAGAACCGGTAGCGGAAATTTTGAGTAGCTCGGAGAACTGGCAAATACCACCTCTAGCTGGCCCTAGAGTGGGGTGGGAATGGAGATTTTGCAATATCCTTCCCCTGGAGTGGGGAGGGAATGGGGATTTTGCAATATTCTTCCCCAGGAGTGGGGAGGGAATGGGGATTTTGCAATATCCTTCCCTGGAGTGGGGAGGGAATGGGGATTTTGCAATATCCTTCCCCTGGAGTGGGGAGGGAATGGGGATTTTGCAATATTCTTCCCTCAGGAGTGGGGAGGGAATGGGGATTTTGCAATATCCTTCCCTGGAGTGGGGAGGTAATGGGGATTTTGCAATATTCTTCCCCCAGGAGTGGGGAGGGAATGGGGATTTTTCAATATCCTTCCCCTGGAGTGGGGAGGGAATGGGAATTTTGCAGTAACTTTCCCCTGGAGTGGGTGGGAATGGAGATTTTGCAGTATCCTTTCCCTGCCATACCCACCAAACCACACCACGTCCACCAAGCCACGCCCACAGAACGGGTGGTAAAAATATTTGAATTTCACCACTGACTTCAACCTCTAAATAGGAATGATCCTTGGTTCCATTAGTTGAGAATGGTATAATATTATACCTGCTATAATTATATAGAAGTCAAGTGTATTGCAGAAGTGCATAGCTAGAACTGAGAATCGCACATGCCAAAATCCCTAAGTCCAACGTTTCCTTCCCTTAACTGCCTCTGATTGCTGACCCCTCACCTCCTATGACCAATCAGGTTCAAGTAAGATGTTTTCAGAATGGTCACGTCAAGTTTAGGTTGGTATGCAGTTGCCGTCTCCTTCTGGCCAGGTGAACTTGAAGCAGCATCTCAGAGAGATACAGTAGTTACTTTCGCTTTCCCCCCAAGCATTCCTCCTCCCGTCCACCCTTCCTAGAGTTCATGGCAGACTGCATGGTAGCGAAGCACACAAGCAAGCATCAGGTGGCAGCTGATAGACTGAAACATTCACACATGCCTCTTGGCATTCCGGCCATCAAATGGGTGCAAAAACACAGCTCTCATTCATGTGAATTTCACCAAAATATTTTCCATGGAAAAGAGTTTCAGAGGCAAATTCTCTTCCAGCAAACCAAGTGTGAATAGCTAAATTGAGGGAGGGGGTAATGCAAAGACATTTCTCAACCTAGCACTAAAAAAAAAAAAATCCCCCCCAAAAAGATTGTAATGTTGGTTTTTTGCAAAACTACCATCATTGGTATTGAATGGGGGGAGTTTATTCCAAGAAACTGCAAAAAAATGCTTCATGGAAATTGGGGGTAACCTGCTTAATTGGGGTTCCCTCTGAACCAATGTTCTTTTCCCAGCACCACCTAGGCACCCAGATTCTGGCGTCTCATTAGAAAATTCTAATCCAAAATCAACAGTACTGTGTGATACATGAAACCTTCAATCTCCTTTTTCCTTTTCTGTAGCCAGGTTCCCCCTCTCGTACTTCAATCAGATTTTAACCTCTATTAAATGTTTCAGCATTTCTCGCACTCAAATCTCTTGCCAAGTTATTTTTATGAAGCCATATGGGAACAAGAAAGAGAGGAAGAGTCTATGGAAAGGTTCTTGTATGTACAAAATATTTTGCCGTATACCGAGAAGTCTTGTGCTAGGAAATGCCGAGGTTTTTTTAGATCTTTCCATTTTTATTTTAAGAACAACATATTTTTTTATTATGCTTCTAATAGCTTACCGCTGTCCTCAGCAGATTTAGGTATGAAAAGGTCTACAGATGCAACACGATAACCAAAATTGATAATATTTATGCGTGACAGAGAATAATCAACAAGGAGTCCAGATTATATGAAAATAATGACAGACATAGCTGCTTTGAGATAAAAAAACCTAATCCAAACCTGAAACAAATAAATGTGTTTTCTTCCAAAGCCTCAACAGGTGGTAGGGAATTACTGTATTTTTTTGGACTATAACACACACTGGAGTATAAGTCGCACCAAGGTTTCGAGGAGGTAAACAAGGAAAAAAGAAATTTTTTTGCCCTCCCCAGCCCCCAGGAGCACTCTGCAGGCCTCCCAAACCCTCTGCAGGCCCCATTTTTGCAAAAAATGGGCCTGTTTTTGGCGAAAATGGGACGTATGGAGCAGGGTTTTGGCTGTATTCGGTGTATAAGATGCACCAACATTTCCACCCTCTTTTAGGGGTGGAAAAAGTGCATCTTATACTCCGAAAAGTATGGTATCTCAGCTCCTAAGTTAAGCAGGGTTGGATAAATACTGGGATGAGAGACTCCAGAGTGAGATTTCCAGAGTGGTTAGCTGGACTACAACACTGATAAACATCACCAAATGCAACACTGGGAAATCACATCTGTATTATCACATTTGATTAAAAAGAGATCCTATCCCCCCTCCCCCATAGTGTGTAGAAATGGGATCTGGCAGACTTGAGATAAATTTGTGTCAGGAGTCTGGGAGGGAGCTAATAGCCATAGCATTTAGACTTATATACCACTTCACAGTGCTTGATAGCCTTCTCTAAGCGGTTGACAGAGTCAGCGTATTGCCCCCAACAATCTGAGTCCTCATTTATCGATCTCGGAAGGATAGAAAGCTGTGTCAACCTTGAGCCGGGCAGGATCGAACTGCTGGCAGTCGGCAGAATTAGCCTGCAATGCTGCATTCTAACCACTGTGCCACCAGGGCTCTATTAAATAAAACCACAATATGGTCGATACGTTGGGGTGCAGCATATTACGAGAACCTTGAGCTAGTCAAGAATCAAACTCCTGGCAATGTGAGCAGAGTTTGCTGCAATATTGCATTGTAACCACTGTGCAGGCAGGCAAGCAGGCAGGCAGGCAGGCAAGAAGGAAGGAAGGAAGGAAGGAAGGAAGGAAGGAAGGAAGGAAGGAAGGAAGGAAGGAAGGAAGGAAGGAAGGAAGGAAGGAATAGCACTTAGACTTATATACCGATTTACAGTATATTATGAGAACCTTGAGCTAAATCAGGAATCAAACTCCTGGCAATGTGATCAGAGTTAGCCTGCAATACTGCATTGTAACCACTGTGCAGGCAGGCAGGCAGGCAGGCAGGAACAGCACTTAGACTTATATATCACTTTACAGTACTTTACAGCCCTCTCTAAGCAATTTATAGAGTCAGCCTCTTACCCCCAACAATCTGGGTTCTCATTTTACCAACCTGGGAAGGATGGAAGGACTGAGTCAACCTTTGAGCCTGGTGAGATTCGAACTGCAGCTGGCAGTCAGCAGAAGTACCCTGCAGTACTGCACTCTAACCACTGTAATGCACACAAGGCATTATTCCTCGTATTCAACCACCGAAGAACAGTGGTAAGTCAACATGCATACAAGTATTGCTGTGGTGATCCTTTATTTGGTGTCAGTCTCAAGCTTTTTTCCCAAACTTTTGGGCCACATAGAGTGAAGAGGAATTGTCTCACGCTGCACATAAAATAGTTAATGTACATAAGAAACAAACCCTACCCGTAAGGCCAACCCAAACCCTTATGAAGCGAAGCCCCCGAGGAGTAGTTTCAATTAAATGTGTGCAATTTTTTTTCCAGGGCAAAGTTTGACCTTTGACTTGGCGAGCCAAGCCTGCATTCCAAAAAGTAGCATCTGGGGCTGGATCAAAATTAAAAACCCCTTTGAGTTGGTCTTAGCTCATGGGAGTTAGATGTGTTAAGCAGGCAAACTCGGGAAATAAGAAACCCCTGGATTTCTGGAAAAGTCTTCCTCGCTAGTAGTGTAAGTGCAACAATGTCTTGAAAGCAATTCTCTAGCTCAATTTATACCAAGCCTAATTAAGGTGGAATTAATCAAGAGTCTTTTTCTTAAGTTTTCCCCTCTCCTTTGGACTCAGGAATGTTTTTTCTAACATCTCCTATAATGACCTTTCTCCCATCTCTACATTCTCAGGATCTGTTGATAACTGTTGATAGATCTCTGTTGATAGATGACTTTTGGTAGATAGGCTCATGTTCTTTCTTTGGCAAAGATTTGGAAGTTGTTTGCCATTGACTTTTTCTGGATTTCTTTGCTGAATAAAGAGAGATCCTTGCAGGAGCTACCTAGAGTCCTAGAAGAAAGGCAGGAGAAGATATTTAGCAGGATAACAGAGTTGGAAGGGATGTTGGAGGTTTCTAGTCCAATCCTCTGCTCAAACAGAAGACTCCAACCCATTTCAGATAAATGGCTGTCCAGTCCCTTCTTTAAAATCTCCAGTTCTGCTGGTTAATGACCACAATTAAATTACTAGATCTGAAAAATCTCCAGTGATGGAGCATTTACAACTTCTGGAGGCAAGCTGTTCCATTGGTTAATTGTTCTCACTGCCCCTGAATTTCTCTTTAGCTCTAGGTTAGTTCTCTCCTTGATTAGTTTCCACCCATTGTTTCTTGCAACAGGGATGTGGTGGCTCAGTGGCTAAGACACTGAGCTTGTTGATCGAAAGTTCGACAGTTCAGTGGTTCGAATCCCTAGTGCCACCACGGGTGAGCTCCCGTGACTTGTCCCAGCTTCTGCCAACCTAGCAGTTCAAAAGCAGGTAAAAAATGCCAGTAGAAAAAATAGGGACCACCTTTGTTGGGAAGGTAACAGCGTTCCGTGCACCTTTGGCGTTTAGTCCAGGGGTGAAATGCTTCTGGTTCAGACCGGATTGCCTGATCCGGTAGCGATGGAGGCGGATGGTTCGGAGAACTGGTAGCAAAAATCCCTGCACCACCCCACCCCTCATGCCCAACTGAGCCGTGCGATCATTGGCCGAAAAAATGCTTTTAAAAGTAAAAAAAAAAAAAAGCCTCTGACGATCGTGTGGCTCAGCTGGGATCGTCAGAAGCTTCTAAAAGCATTTTTTTCTGCAACCCCTTCAGCCAAAGAGGTTGTAGGAAAAAAAATGCCTTTAAAAGCATCTGGCGATCCCAGTTGACTTGCCTGATCGTCAGAGGCTTCTAAAAGCATTATTTTCTGCAACCTCTTAAGGTTGTAGAAAAAATGCTTTTAAAAGTAAAAAAAAAAAAAGTTGGCCACGCCCACCCAGTCACATTACCACCCCCACCAAGCCACGCCCACAGAACCGGTAGTAACAAATTTTAGATTTCACCCCTGGTTTAGTCATGCTGGCAACATGACCACGGAGACGTTTTTGGACAGTGCTGGCTCTTCGGCTTAGAAACCGAGATGAGCACCACCCCCTAGAGTCGGGAACGATTAGCACTTATGTGTGAGTGGAACGTTTACCTTTACCTCATTGTTTCTTGCTTTTACTTTTTAATAATTCTGGATTCCCCATGTGCTCAGTCTGTAAATATGAATACAAACAAACATTTACAAACAATGGCAGCCGCTTCTCCCTGAACATAACACTGTTATGTGAGACTGCAAATACCAAGGAACAACAGGTCTCGGGTGCAAGAGAGAAGCCTGCCGAAATAAGAAGCATTCAGACACCAGAGTTTGCCTATCCAGTACAGGGTACCTTCCAAAGGTAACCCCAGAAGCTAAGAAATGTTACCCTCATCCTTTCTAGACAAGGCTTCCTTGTTTGGGACCTGGAGACAGGCTGGTTTTGTCTGATAAAGCCACTCGCATGTTTATCAGAGAAGCAGAAAGAGAAAGCGTCACTCCAGCCCTTAGCCAAGATACTTGGGCCCCCAAGATCAAAGAAGGAGTCTGGGAAGGAGCAGCATCTGGGTGAGAGATAGCTAGTTGGCTAGGGCTGCCCCCGTGCCGAGCAAGTGAGCCGGGAAGGGAGGTCTGGAGAAGCCACCAGAGACTCGCTAACATGCCCATGTTAATTAAGTAAGCAGAAACAGCTGTCTGGAGGAAGAGATACACCATAGCTGAACACCAGAGCACAGACTTTGCTTGCAAAAAAATCCCCAGATTTAGGGTGCCATCCATATGCGGTGCTCCAAGCCGGGCAGATGTTTTATTTAAATTATTATTATTATTATTTTAAAATCAAAGGCTGTTTTCATTCTACTTCGAGCAGTTCCTGATTCCAGAGTTTTGCCTGGATCCAAACCCCATTTCCTCATCCCTAGAATAACAAAGATGCCCTCGCTAAGCTGCAGCCCAAAGGGGCCGAGAGGTCACAGTGCACACAATTTTCCAATTCCTTTTGGTACAACAGTCCAGCAACAAGCAGTTGCAGGCGAGAAGCGAGGAATTTGTGCCCGGAAGGCAGAAGAAACCACAGCCATCTCCCCCAATCACGCTCCTTGCAGATGTGTTCCGGCTAAAATTCACACCATCCAAGCTTAACTCATCTTAACTAGCTTGAGATCAGATATTGGTTATCTTTTGGCTTCAAGAGTCCCAATTTAAGAGACTAAATTGAACTTTTTTTTTTTTTTGGTAGCTTGATCCTGATAAAATCAGTCCTCTCTAACCAATATATGTGAAATCATGAAAAATTGCCCTTGATAATATCAGGGCCCTACAAGGGACATGGTGGCTCAGTGGCTAAGATACTGAGCTTGCCGATCAAAAGGTTGGCAGTTCGGCGGTTCGAATTCCTAGTGCCGCTTAACGGGGCGAGCTCCCGTGACTTGTCCTAGCTTCTGCCAACCTAGCAGTTCGAAAGCACGTAAAAAATGCAAGTAGAAAAATAGAGACCACCTTTGGTGGGAAGGGAACAGCGTTCCATGTGCCTTTGGCATTTAGTCATGCCGACCACATGATCACGGAGACGTCTTAGGACAGCGCTGGCTCTTCGGCTTTGAAACGGAGATGAGCACCGCTCCCTAGAGTCGGGAACAACTAGCACATATGTGCGAGGGGAATCTTTATCTTTACCTTAATATCAGGGCCCGGGGAAACTAGTTGCAACGTTTTGCTGCAGATTTGAACATCTTTCTCTTGAATCCATTTTCTTTCAGTCTTCTCGTAATTGCTGGTCAGGATGGCAAATAACATTACCAAAAATTGTCCCAAAGGTGCTTTTTCAAGAGGAAACTGGACTTTCTGGTTTTTCTTTGAAGATGTCTCGCTTCCCCGTCCAAGAAGCTTCTTCAGCTCTGACTTTCCCCACCATCATCCAGTCAGAAGCTGAAGAAGCTTCTTGGATGAGAAGTGAAACTTCTTCAAAGAAAAAAAAAACCAGAATGTCCAATTGCCTTTTGAAAAAAGCACCTTTGGGAGAACCATGACCTGGATGACTGAGAATCTCCATAGACAATTACCAAAAATTGTATCAGAGCAGCGCTGGTTCATCAAACTTGGCAACTTTAAAATGTGTGTCTATGAAGATTCTCAGTCATCCAAGTCATAGTTGTATCAAAAGTGTGTTTTTTTTATTTTTGAAAAGGCCACTGGACTGATTTTTTTGAGGAGGAAGAAGAAAAAGACGTTTCTCTTCCTACCCCAGAAGCTTCATCCTGTTATATTGGATGGCGTGGGAGAGGGAAAGCAAGTTATTGACAGTTAAGATTAGTTTGTGGGGGAGGGGAATGATAGGCTCTGACAGGATGGGGGGTATGGGGGGGGGGTTAGAAATGGAAAGATTGACTTCAATTCCCAAATTTTCCCAGCCGGCATACTGGGGCAGTTGAAGTCCACACATCTTAAAGTTGCCAAGGTTAAAGAAAGAACATATTATAAAGTGTGGAATAGGTTTTATACATGGTTGGGAAACAGAAATCGAATTAAGAAATAAGAATATAAAGTGAATTTTAATATTAACATACTGGATATAAATGTAACTAGTTTATTTATTATTTATTTATTAATTCGATTTTTATGCCACCCCTCTCTGAAGACTCAGGGCGGCTCACAATGCATTTAAAATCATTATAAAAAACATTTAAAAATTAAAAACATTAAAACTCATTCACTCTACTCATGGCTGGATCTCGCCGGATCGCAAGAGCGAGATCAACGGCCCCAGGCCTGCCGGAAAAGCCAGGTCTTCACCACTTTTCGGAAGGCCAATAGGGTGGGGATGGTCCTGACCTCAGGAGGTAACTGGTTCCAGAGAGCTGGGGCAGCCACAGAGAAGGCCCTCCCCTGCGGGCCCGCCAGCCGGCATTGTTTAGCTGACGGGACCCGGAGGAGACTGACTCTGTGGGATCTTACTGGTCGTTGGGAGTTATGCGGTAGAAGGCGGTCTCGAAGATTGCCTTCTACCACTAATGATCATACTTCTAATGCTCCTGCTAACAAGAGCCTTGGTGGTACAGGGGTTTAAGGCACCCTGTTATTAAGCTTATTAAGACCAGCTGCCTGCAATTACTGCAGGGTTCGAATCTCGCCAAGGCTCAAGGTTGACTCAGCCTTCCATCCTTTCTAAGGTAGGTGAAATGAGGACCCAGTTGTGGGGGCAATAAGCTGACTTTGTATAAATATACAAAAGGATGAAGGCTATTGCTGAGCACATTGTAAGCCGCCCTGAGTCTTCGGAGAAGGGCGGCATATAAATTAAATTTAAAAAAACAAAAAAACAAAAAACAAAACAGTTAATTATGAATATTTAAAAATAAAGAGAAGGAGCAGGAGGATAAAAGCTAAGAGTAAAGACAAAAGTCGATGCAGAAAGTTGTAAAATTGTATATATCTGTTTAATGTCTGATGTGCATGTGTTTTTGTTTTTTGTTTTTGTCTCTTGACTTCTTTTGCTATTGTATGTTTGGCTTTAAAATGTAAAATACTCAATAAAAATTATTTTTTTAAAAAATAATAAAAATAAAGAAAGAACACGGTATTAAAGCTAATTTAAATCATGTGGGTGATTTGGACTGGGGATGGATTCATTGACATGTTCTTTGATCAGTTGATGGCCTCATTGACGTGCGGAAAGAATAGGTTACGTTCAAATTCCATGCTAGATATGGTAAAATGGAAAGCACAGCGCTGATGTGAAATAAATGTTTGCTAAGCCAGACCAAATGACAATGGAATTATGGCTCAGAGTGATGCGATCACAAGACCTGGAAAAAAAGCATACACCCTTGGGCACATGAATGGAAAGCTACTGGGGCCACCATCGGATCAGGCACTTAAAGAGATGATTGATGAGGCAGAAGATAACTCCAACGAGAGGTCATCCCTCCCAAATGCTTCATTTCAAGAAGCTTTTCCCTTTTTTTCTTTTCCCTTTTTAATTCAAATGATGAATTTTAAATTTGTCTTAAAAACATTAGGGTTGTTTAAATTGTCACGGGCCAAATTATTTAATCAGGTTTTATACTGTTTTTAAATTTTGTAATTTATGTGTTTTATCTGGCTGTTCACCGCCCTGAGTCCTGCGGGAGTAGGGCGGTATATAAATCTAATAAAATAAAATAAATAAAATAATAAAATAATAATAAAAAAAGCTCTTTTCTCATGCTATTGACATTAAGATTAACATTCAAAATTTAAGCAGAAAACCCCTTCCAGAAATGAAGGGGTGAAATGAGCAAACTCTTGGTTCCTCATTTGTCTACTTGCTACCTACCAATGGTCTCAGAAGTTGAAGAACATCTAAAGAAAGAAAATTTTATGCAGTGCCAGCTTCATTCTATCTGCCCAGAATCAGCCACACTCAAAGGAATTTGCTCTTCCAGAGTTTTATCCATCATCCATTCCCTGAGGTCTTAAAGAGTCATAACTCAACAAAACATCTTTCTCGGAAGATCTGCCTTGTATGTAGACTTCAGACAGCACCTGCAGCTAAGGCCATCATTTTTATTGCTTATTTACATCTCGCCTTTTCTTTTTCCTTTTGCTCAAGGGATCATGCATGATTATATCATCTAGTCATCTTCACTATTCAGGTAAGAAAGACTGCCTAAGAGAGAATGAGTAATGCAGACTCACACCAGAGAAACTTCCTGAAAAAAAGGAGGATTTGAATTCCAGTCTTCGCGCAATCCTAAACGCTCCATGATAATTAAGATCAGAATTCAGGGGTGAAATGCTCCCGGTTCGGACCGGATCGCCCGATCCGGTAGCGATGACAGTGGGTGGGTCGGAGAACCAGTAGCAAAAATCCCTGCTCACCCCATGCCCAGCTGAGCCGCACAATCATCAGAGGCTTTTTTTTTTTTTTTCGGCCGAGGAGGTTGTAGAAAAAAATGTTTTTAAAAGAAAAAAAGCGTCTGATGATCAGGCAACTCAGCTGGGATCGTCAGAGGCTTTTAAAAGCATTTTTTCCCCAACCTCTTCGGCTGAAGAGGTTGTAGAAAAAATAGTTTTAAAAGTGTAAAAAAAAAAAAAAAGTTGGCGACGCCCACCGTCACATTAACCCCCCCCACCAAGCCACGCCCACAGAACCGGTAGTAACAAATTTTACATTTCACCACTGTCAGAATTCCACTGAAAAGGAAGATGTCATGCCTTAAAAACCTAACACATGCCTCTTCGGATACTATACAGGTAGTCCTCCACTCACAACAGTTCATTTAGTGACCGTTTGAAGTTCCAAGAGTGCTGAAAAAAAGTGACTTTTCAATAAGTGTTTTTCACACTTCGGACTGTCGCAGCATCCCCGTAGTCATGTGATCAGGATTCAGACACTTGGCAACTGACTCGTATTTATGTCCTGGGATCAGTAACAGTAACAGAGCTGGAAGGGACCTTGGAGATCATCTAGTCCAACCCCCTGCTCACTCAGACGACCTATACTAGGGATTCGAACCGCCGAACTGCTGACCTTTCTGATCGACAAGCTCAACGTCTTAGCCACTGAGCCACCTAGCCAGGCTGATCAAGGGATCAACTTTTGCGACCTATTCTGACGGCAAAGTTCGACGGGGAAGCCAGATTCACTTAATAACCCCGTGTTACTAACTTCACAACGGCAATGATTCACTTAACAACTGTGGCAGGAAAAGTCATAAAAATGGGGCAAACTCACTTAACCAACGGTTTCACTTAGCAATATAAATTTTGGATTCAATTGTGGTGGGAACTCGAGGATCACCTGCACACAAATGTAGAATAAGAATATCGTGGAAAGGGCTTTAAGATAACCTTATGCAACCCTGATCAAGCAGACTGCAATTTTTATTATCCCTAGCTAGCAATAACCGGGTTGGCTGGGGTAAGAGGGACTGTGATCCAACACATGTGGCTTTTAACCATGGCTAGAACCCAAGAAGCAATTCAATGCAAAACCCAAGCCATCTTTCTTGGCCATAGCCCAATAATACATTTTTGGTGTCAATTGATTGAGAAAAACAAAGGATGGTTTTCCCTGATAGAAAATTGGATGTCATCTATCCGTTTTTTGGAATGAACATTTCAAGTTTAATGATGAAAACATCAACTCTTTGCTCACCCATTTTTTTCCTTCAATTCAGCATGATTCCCTTTATGATGATGAAGATGAACAGAACAGAATAGAATAGAATAACAGAGTTGGAAGGGACCTTGGAGGTCTTCTAGCCCAACCCCCTGCTTAGGCAGGAAACCCTACACCACTTCAGACAAATAGTTATGCAACATCTTCTTCAAAACAGATTGTGTAACAGTAACAGAGTTGGAAGGGACCTTGGAGGTCATCTAGTCCCACCCACTGCTCACACAGGGGTTCCAGTGTTGGAGCATTTACAACTTCTGGAGGTTCAGATCAGTTCAGATCAGATCTTGTTTATGGATCAGGGTTATGTAATAACCTCTCACACAGATGGTTAAAAGATCAAAATACTGTGCCTTCCTTTTCCATCCAGGATTCTATCCTCCTCCTTCTCCTCCTCCTCCTCTAGCACATTGATGAAATAGATAGGTAGGTAGGTAGGTAGATAGGTAGATAGATATAGATAGATAGGTAGGTAGATTGGTAGATTGGTAGATTGGTAGATCGGTAGATAGGTAGGTAGGTAGGTAGGTAGGTAGGTAGGTAGATAGATAGATAGATAGATAGATTAGATAGATAGATAGATAGATAGATAGATAGATAGATAGATCGGTAGGTAGGTAGGTAGGTAGGTAGGTAGGTAGGTAGGTAGATATAGATAGGTAGGTAGATCGGTACATCAGTAGATAGATAGGTAGGTAGGTAGATAGATCGATAGATAGGTAGGTGTGTAAGTAGGTATGTATGTAGGTAGGTAGATAGGTAGGTAGATAGGTAGATATAGATAGGTAGGTAGGTAGATCGATAGATAGATAGGTAGGTGGGTAGGTAGATAGGTAGATAAGTAGGTAGGTGGGTAGGTCGGTAGGTAGGTCGGTAGGTCGGTCGGTAGGTAGGTAGGTAGGTAGGTAGATAGATAGTAGATAGATAGATAGATAGATAGATAGATAGATAGATAGATAGATAGCGAAAGGACAACCCACAAGACCGGTTATATTTTGCAGTAACCATTGCAAAACCTCTTGCAGTAGCTGTAACAAATATAAAATAAAATAAACTAAATTCTCTGGCGTGTTTCTAACGGGAAGCAAGCAGCCGACAAATATTTGAAAGCGCCGAAGCCAAGCCGTAAATGAGGCAAGCTCCCTCTGAAGCCAAGGCGTGAAGAAGAATTAGGGAAGGCTAACTCTGCCCTTGCCCCGGGGGACCTTTCCCAACTTTCAGACGAGACGGGTGTTGGCGAAAAATCACAGCGCGAGGAAAGAAAAACAAAACCCCAACAACCCCAACCAGAAAGCGAGAAGCCAACGGAGACCTTCCCGGGGTCCCCGGCTCTTGGGGGTGGGGGGAGAGCTGGTGGGGAGGGGTGGGGGGGGTGGGAAGGGCTCGCGTGTTCCTTTAAGGGGTTGGTCCTGCCGCGGTTTCCTTTTGGGTCGCCGCCGCCCCGCCCTGCGGCTCTACAACCCACTTCGCTAAAGTTGCAACAAGAGGCTCAGTTGGTTTCTGTCCGCCGCGGAGGGAAGTTTCAACTTTTCGGCGGCTGCTGCAGCTGCTGCAATTTGCTGCTTCTAGAGTCCGTTTCGGGACGCGGCGGGCTGGTTATGCCCTCTTGCTCCGTAAGTAAGGAGATTTGGAGAAGCTGAAGAGAGAGGGAGGGGGGGCAGAGAGAGAAAGACAGACAGACAGGCAGAGAGAGAGGGAGAGAAAGAGAGGGAGAGAGAGAGAGAGAGGGAGGGAGAGAGAGAGGGAAAGAGAAAGAGAGGGAGAGAGAGGGAGGGAGAGAGAGAGGGAAAGAAAGAGAGGGAGAGAGGGAAAGAGGGAGAGAGAAGGAAGTAGGAAGAGAGAGAGGGAAAGAGAAAGAGAGGGAGCGAGGGAAAGAGGAAGAGAGAGGGAAGTAGGGAGAAAGAGAGAGAGGGAGAGAGAGAGAGAGAAAGGGAGAGAGAGGGAGGGGGAGAGAGGGAGAGGGAGAGAGAAAGAGAGAGAGAGAAAGAGAGAGAGAGGGAGAGGGGGAGAGAGAGGGAGGGGGAGAGAGGGAGAGAGAAAGAGAGAGAGAGAAAGAGAGGGAGAGAGGGAGAGGGAGAGAGGGAGAGGGAGAGAGAAAGAGAGAGGGAGAAAGAGAGAGAGAAAGAGAGAGAAAGAGAGAGAGAGGGAGAGGGAGAGGGAGAGAGAGAGAGAGAGAAAGAGAGGGAGAGGGAGAGAGAAAGAGAGAGAGAAAAAGAGAGAGAAAAAGAGAGAAAGAGAGAAAGAAAGAAAGAAAGAAAGAAGAAAGAAAGAAAGAAAGAAAGAAAGAAAGAAAGAAAGAAAGAAAGAAAGAAAGAAAGAGAGAGAGAGAGAAATCGAGAGAGATCCCTTCCCTCCCTCCGGTTTTCCTCTCTTTTTCTCCGCTGGGACTCTAGACTTTCATCCCCTCGTTGGCGAACCGGGAGGAGGCAGGCAGGATCGGAGTGGCGGTGGGGGGGAGGCACGAACGCGCCCCTGGCGCAATTTTAAACCCCTTTGCGCTCCAGCTAGGCAACCCAATCCGCGGGCATGAGGCAGGCGGAACGTGAGAAAGCGGAGGAGAAATTTGAGGCATGGGAGAAGCAGGCAGCAATTTGCAGAGGTAACTAGGATACCACACACCTAGAAGGATCAGGTCGGGGATAATAAACCTACCGGGTACAGAGCCTTGATTTAGTTTTTTTTTTTTTTAAATCTCAGTTAAGGTTTGTTTCCCTACCCAGCCTTGGTTTTTCGTTGGTTGTGTGAACTCAGCTGGTTTGATCGGGGTGTAATTCAACGTATTGTGCAACCCAGAAAAATGTGTGAATTTGGTAATTCTGCATCTTGCCGGAATTGTATAGAATGTGAAGGATGTGTGTTTGTGTTTTATTATTATAGTTATAATGTACATTGAAGATGGCATTTAATTTTGCTGTACCAGGTGCAACTAAACTAAACTAAACTAAACTAAACTAAACTAAACTAAACTAAACTAAACTAAACTAAACTAAACTAAACTAAACTAAACGCTAGAGAGGCAAACGAAGGTGTTGAGTATTGCCAAGGTATGAATCTCTTTTTAAAAGAAGAGATTGAACAGTCATTTGTCAGAAATGGTATAGGGTCTCCGCTTGATCAGCAAGGTTGGACTAGAAGACCTCCAAGGTCCCCTTCCCACCCTGTTGTTCTGTTAAATCTATCAAGCCGAAGATCCCTACCGATTATGACACTTTGGAACATCTCGTCTGCATTTTATGGGTGTAAATTGTCAGGTTGCGCAGGGCAATTGCAGCACAAGCTGATTTTATTTTCTCTTTTTCACATTTGTGTTGGAAAGCAGGTGGGGAGGATCCAGCTGCTTTGAAGTTCGTCCCAACGACGCCTTGATCTCAAGAACAAACCAACTGGACTGGTGTCTACAAGCATGGAGATGCCTCTGGTGTTATCAAGGTAGGCTTGGCTGCCAAAGAGACCTGAAATGTATGGTCTGATGATCATGTTGCATTGTTGGGAAATGTCCCTTTGCACTTAGTAGCCAGTGACATCCTATAAGGTAAAGGTAAAGGTTCCCCTCGCACATATGTGCTAGTCCTTCCCGACTCTAGGGGGTGCTGCTCATCTCCGTTTCAAAGCCGAAGAGCCAGCGCTGTCCAAAGACATCTCTGTGGTCATGTGGCCAGCATGACTCAATGCCAAAGGCACACGGAACGCTGTTACCTTCCCACCAAAGGTGGTCCCTTTTTTTCTACTTGCATTTTTTACGTGCTTTCGAACTGCTAGGTTGGCAGAAGCTGGGACAAGTAATGGGAGCTCACCCCGTTACGCGGCACTAGGGATTCGAACCGCTGAACTGCCGACCTTTCGATCGACAAGCTCAGCGTCTTAGCCACTGAGCCACCGCATCCCTTCTTATAAACCTTTTTTATAAATGGGGGATTAAGACTGAGCCCAACATGTGTAAGGATGAAATTACCTGAGGTTACTATCTAAGAGTAAGAAAGGAGCAGGAGAAGGAGGATGGAAACCCATCTGAGTCTAGCAGGAAGAGATAGCTTATATGAAAGGAAGTTTTAGCAGGCATAAACTTGATATCCAATTACGATATCCTTGAATGGATCCAGGATAAATTTGAAGTAAATAAGGAAAGGGAGTGGGGAAAACTTGTCCCAAGCGATTTTGTTTTATTTATTGTATTCCATCTTTTTTAATATTTTTATTGGTTTATTTATTGGTTCGATTTATATGTCACCCTTTCTCCGGAGACTCAGGGCGGCTTACAATGCGTTAAGCAATACCCTTCATACTTTTGTATATACCTGCTTAGTAGGGCTTTCACCCCCCCCCCCCCCCCCCCAAGCGGTCTTTTTTATACAAAGTCAGCTTATTGCTCCCACAATCTGGGTCCTCATTTTACCTACCTTTGAAAGGATGGAAGGCTGAGTCAACCTTGAGCCTGGTGAGATTTGAACTTGCAATAATTGCAGGCAGCTGGTGTTATCTTAACAGTGCTTTAGTCTGCTGCGCCACCAAGGCTCATATATATAAATAACTCAAGGCAGCAAACGTACTTCTTCCTCCTCCTATCTTCCGTACAACAATCACTCTGTGATGTGGGTTGGGCTGAGAGAGAATGACTGCCCTAAAGTCACCCAACCAGGTTTCATGCCTAAAGTGGGACTAGAACTCATTGGCTCCTGGTGATCGGCCAGAAGCCACCTAACTGGCTTTCATGTCTAAGGCAGGACTAGAACTCACGATCTCCTAGTGACTGGCTGAGAGTCACCCAGCCAGCTTTCCTGCCTAAGATGGAACTAGAACTCACAGTCTCCTGGTTTATAGTTTGGTGCCTTAACCACTTGACCAAATTGATAAACCGGTAACCAGACCAATGTAAATAATCATCATTTTCCTAGAAAAGGACGACGGAAAGGAATAGCCTGTTGACGGTGGTCTAACTCAGGGGTCAGCAACCTACGGCTCTGGAGCCGCATGTGGCTCTTTTACCCCTCTGCTGCGGCTCCTTGTCACTCAAAATATGCGTCACAACCGCCAATGTGCGACACCTGCTGGCATGTGATTAATTGAGCTTTTCAACCCCCGGTAGGCCAACCATGGATAAATCCAAGAAAAGAAAAGTTTCAGAAGAAAACAGAACATTTAATTCAACTATGTTTGCTAGTTTTGTGGCCGCTCAGGAAATAGTCAGGCACGGGAAGGGTTTTGTGGCTCCTGGTGTTTTGTTTTCTGTGGGAAACGGGTCCAAATGGCTCTTTGAGTGTTTAAGGTTGCAGACCCCTGGTCTAACTGAATGAAAACCTGAGATTAACTATCAGAATTGCCTCCCACGAATTGTGAAATTGCATAATTATTTGAACCATTAACTTTTACCTACTGCTGATGAAGTATTTGCAATAAGCCATGACTTCACTTGGGGAATTCTATGCATTGTATGACTACATTGACGTGATGAACGCTTTCCGTCTGCTCTATGGGTTGGGATGAACTGAGCCAATGCAGAGCTGGATGCTTTGCACTGCTTGTCTCTTGATGGAATCTATGAGAGCAACTCCGCCTTTCTATATATATTTGGGAACCTGCGCCGCTGAGCCAACAGATTTTCTAATTTTTCCACTCTGGTGTAAGCATGGGTTGGATTGCAGCACCGGTTTCTTCAAAATGAGTTTGGGGATCTGTCGTAACCCTGATAAGGCGGATGTCTTAAAGCCTGCTTTACATCAATGGTCTGTTTTCTTTCTCTTTGGGAGATGCCCAAGTCTTTTTGTAATTTTTTTTCTTTTAAAAAAATGGTTATACCTTCCATATGAGAAATAGGAAATCTTCAATCTTCCTACTTAAAACTTAAACCATCCCAGATTATGATGCATCCCAGTATAATCATTTGATCAATCCGATTAAAAAGGTAAAGGTAAAGGTTCCCCTTGCACATATGTGCTAGTTGTTCCCAACTCTAGGGGGCGGTGCTCATCTCCGTTTCAAAGCCAAAGAGCTGTCCAAAAATGTCTCCGTGGTCATGTGGCTGGCAGGACTAAACGCCAAAGGCGCACGGAACGCTGTTCCCTTCCCACCAAAGGTGGTCCCTATTTTTCTGCTTGCATTTTTTATGTGCTTTCGAACTGCTAGGTTGGCAGAAGCTGGGACAAGTAAAGGGAGCTCACCTCATTATGCGGCACTAGGGATTCGAACCACTGAACTGCCGACCTTTCATTCAACAAGCTCAGCATCTTAGCCACTGAGCCACTGCATCCCTTTCAATCCAATTAGGATTGATCAAATTTTTATATCCTATTAAGTATAGGGTCTCCTTCTCGAGCAGGGGGTTGGACTAGAAGACCTCTAAGGTCCTTTTTAAGTCTATTATACTGTGTTCCCTATGTTCTGTATTTCACAGGCATTGTAAGGGGAGAGCCCTGTTAATCAATGGGGAAAAAAGCAGGAATCTGTAGCATCTTTTCAGAACTTGCAGCTCGTGAAAACGTGTCCCTTTTAATAAAACTGTTAGTTGGAAGAGATACTACTAGCCTGCACTTGATAAAGAAAGGCAGTAGACAGATATGTTGCAAAGTAATGAAATCATCATCAGCAGAGGGACGTGTTTGATTTCTTTCCAAAATTCCATTTTGACTTGGCATCACCTATCAATGATGCCAAGGAAACTATTCTGAATTCATCAACCTTTGGAAATTCCCGACTCATCTTTGACTCAACGGTGTCTTTGGAGCCCAAGTCTTAATGCTGGTGTATTTCTGCTGTTTTGGTGACCCTTTTAATATCAGGCTAGTCCAGGTAGTCCTCGGTTTACGACCACAATTGAGCCCAACATTTCTGTCGTTCAGTGAACTTTTGCCCCATTTTACGATCTTTCTTGCCTCCATCGCTTAAACGAATCGCTGCCATTCATAAGTGGTGTAAATTGAGCACTACCTGTAATGGATCTCAACTAAAGAGGGATGAAAGGAATTCCTCTGGGTTTATTGTGTTTGCCAATGAGTCCTGTTCTTGGGATAACTTTTATTGAATTCTGTAATTGATCACTTTTACCCCTTCCCTAGAGGGACATCGTGGCTCAGTGGCTAAGACACTGAGCTTGTTGATCGAAAGGTCGGCAATTCAACGGTTTGAATCCCTAGTGCCGCGTAATGGGGTGAGCTCCCATGACTTGTCCCAGCTTCTACCAACCTAGCAATTCGAAAGCATGTAAAAAATGCAAGTAGAAAAATAGAGACCACCTTTGGTGGGAAGGGAACAGTGTTCTGTGCGCCTTTGGCGTTGAGTCATGCCGGCCACATGACCACGGAGACATCTTCGGACAGCGCTGGCCCTTTGGGTTTGAAACGGAGATGAGCACCGCCCCCTAGAGTCAGGAACGATTAGCACATATGTGCGAGGGGAACCTTTACCTTTACTTTTACCCCTTCCCTCTTCAGAACTGACTTTGGGAGCATAGAGTTATGGGTGAGGGTATGCGTGCACGCAACATCCCACTACCCCCCCCCCTTCCTGGCACGCGATGGCAAACAGGTTAGCCATCACTGGAATAGGTTGTTGGTTGTTATAAATACAATGGTTGTTATAAAGATAAGCAAGTTGCCAAGCGCCTGGATTTGGATTATGTGACGGTGGGGATGCTGCAAAGGTCATAAGTCTGAGGACTGGCCCGTGAGTCAGTCAGTTTTTTTCAGCACCATTGTAACTTCAAACGGTTGTGAAACGAATGGTTGTAAGTCAGAGAGTCTCGCTCTCTTGACCTTGATAACGTTCTTCTCCTTTTGTAACCATTGAACCTTTTAAAATACAGGTAGTCCTCGACTTACAACAGTACGTTTAGGGACCGTTCAAAGTTACAACGGCATGGGGAAAAAAATGGCATATGACAGTTTTTCACACTTATGACCGTTGCAGCATCCTCGATCAAAATTCCGATGCTTGGCAACCGACTCGTATTTATGACGGTTGCAGTGTTCCTGGGTCATGTTTTGCGACCTTCTGACGAGCAAAGTCCATGGGGAAGCCAGATTCACTTAACAACCATGTGACTAGCTTAACAACTGCAGTGATTCATTTAACAACTGTGGCAAGAAAGGTCATAAAATGGAGCAAAGTCCACTTAATAACGTCCTTGCTTAACAAGAGAAATTTTGGGCTCCGTTGAGGTCATAAGTCAGGGACTATCTGTACTTTCCAGTCTTGCCTATAGTATTCTCCGGTGCCCTCCTATCCTAATGCTAAAGAGGATCTACCTTGCTTAGCTTCTTAGACAAACCAAGTTTGGCCAGGTGCTGCTAGGCAAAGTAGGCTAAGGAACATAAAGTTTCATTTGAGTCAAGCTGCGTTTCGGGAGATTCTGTGGATATAGAATCCCAGTCTTGGGATTCTTTGGTGAATTCCAATGCAACCATTATTTTTCCTTATATTTTGTAGATCAAGCAAGA